TTTTGGCGCCGTTTTCGTTATATAGTAAACGTTTGACCATTTTTCGGGCTAAAGTCCATCGCTTGCACATTTGCTTACCAAACACATCCACGACTTTGCAAAAAGTGGTGATACGGATCCAATTTTGCGGGACAGAAGCCAGGTGGACCCGTTCGGCGCGGAATTTCTGAGGGATCCGCTTAACGAATCTACTCGTGCTTTTGCATGCTGGACTTTCATGAAGGCAGCATGCGCTATGCGAAATTTGGGCTTAAAACGCTGGCTGGAACTCGCTCTACGAATTTCGTAACAGACGGACACACAGACACACAAAACACGTAAACAACCCTTAGTCCGTTATTATACTAGGCTGTTGCATAAGTTCTGTCCGATTTGAATTTTTGAGTTTAAAATGTCATAACTTCTTTCAAAGTCAACTTTTTTCCAAGGTCTTAGTTTCTATGTGTTGAGCAGTCCCTTGGCTAAAAAATGCATATTGAGATCTGCGCAAATCTTTGTTAAGGAAGAACCAAGAATGCAAAAACTTCGCAGCGTTTTTCTTCGAATCTGTCTTTTTTGACATGGTAACGCTCCCTTATGAAAATTGATAGGCATCTTTTCTAATAATGGATGGATAGAGAAATTTTCGTAGATTATTATGCAACATAAAAGAGCCCATAGGGTTTGCGCTGCCGAGAGATTTTCTTGACCGAACAAAAAATTAGCCACTTTTCGACCTCGCTTCAGCACATGTGTGCATGCCTATTTATGAACTACGAACGTTTTACAACTGACGTGAGCGCCGAAAAGGAATTGGTGGATGGACCCTGTTAGCTCTTGCTTTGCCCTAGCACCTCCAACTTTGAACTTGTCGATTACTTCTATTCGCAGAAAGTTATTGCTTGTAAAACATCTACACCAAAGATTTATGTTCGAGGATAAATTTCACTAGCAAGACGTATTCTTCATGGGACCGAACTTCTGCATATACTAGCATTCCATACCCTTATTCCGAAGCCAATGAAAGAACCTGACTTGAAGGGCGCATTGTGGAGATATCCTCGCAAGGACATATTTCTAGGGATAGAACGTACCTCGGCCACTTAGAGATTTTAGGCCTGTGATCTCCGTACACTAAGAATTTTATTGAATTCTGGTATGCTTTAAAAAGCGCAAGGAAAGCACTTTTCAATGATACCAACCGTATCGAATTAGAGATGAAATTCTCTTAGAACAGCTGCTTCAAACATGAGGCAAAAAAATCGGACAGAACTTATGCAACAGCCTAGTAAGGTCTTGATACTTGGCACTGTTACTAACTATACACTTTGCATTTACTAGCAGATGGTCTACTCATACTATTTCCCAGGGGACTTTATCGCAGCCTCCAAATGCCCAACCTCACCAGTATTGAACTTTGAGTAATCCCCATTTTTCTCCTAAACAAGGTCATACTCCCTGTTCGGAGATTATCATTGCCGAGCATATCTTTATATGCTTGAAGATATCTTGCTGACCTCTGAAAACCTTTTTTTATTGGTTCTTATTGATTTTCGCCAGCTAGCTTCCGCCCGAGGCTCGTTGGCACCCAAAAGGGGATAAGTGGAAATTTTCATAGGCAGCAAGATTGGAATTCAAGTTGATCAGTACTATTTTGAATCTGCAAACCTATTTGCTAGCACCCTAGCTAATCTAAAGCAGAAAGTATTGCCTGGGATGTTTCTATACTGCGTCTAATCACTTCTCTTGGACTGCTCCTTGTCCCTTTTACATAGGTATGAGATGCTTGTCATTGTTAGTGTTTGCTTTTGTTTGTTTGTTTGTTTTTTTCATGTTGGCACACCTTGAGTGTAAAACATAAATAAATAAATAAATAAATAAATAAATCGTAATTGAGCGTTCACATGCACATACACTCTCTCGACAAGTTGCTACGCGACTGACATGCAAAACACCGATCTTGGTCGCGCGTCATCCTCAAAAATTGGAATTTTTTTCATTGAGTTGTGATGAAGTGTGTCGGTTACAGCGCACACATAACGATATGAATAATTTGGAGTATGAGCGGACATGGACTAGGAGCATAGTACAGAGTATTGTGGAAAATATTATGTGAATGGAGCAAGCTTTTTTCTGGAAATTTCCCACCATCACAAAAATGGCTCGTTTGCAACACGCGACGTTGTGGCACGAAATTCGGTGTGTGTACGCGCAGTTGGGCTAAGAAACAAAACATTACAGATTATGAAAAAGTTATGCGAGTATAAAGCGTGCTTAATTTTTTCCAGATTAGGCAAATGCCCACCTAATGCCCACCTGAGGTATGCAAAACTTCCAATTCACTTAAGTTTTGTAAAATGTTTACATAAATCTGTTCTACACCGAAAGTCAAGTATATGCTAACAACTGAGTTCCAAAACTCCTCGTCTCCTCCTTGTTAGGGTTCAGAATAGCAACGGCTCCAGGTCAGGAGTCACATCGCGCGCGGCTGCCTCTCGCCGCGCCCAAATTTTGTGCCTCACAAAAACTCCCCGGTGCTAAAATGGCACGGCGCCGCAGTGGGGGGTGGGGGAGGGGTGGCGGCAGATACATGACTCGATGCCATAAGTAACATTGCGGCGGGAGTACTGACGGGAGTTAAGGCTTGTACTGCTTGACGTCGCGGGCGGCGTCGCTTCGCGAAAAATCGTGACTCCTGACCCGTAGCCAATAGCAACGACGCCGGTCCTTTTCTTTTGAGGAAGAAAGCCGCTCCATTCGAACAATCTAGGCAGCTGGTAGGATCAAGAGGGAAATCGTAAAAATCGAGTGGCGAAGGCGCATTCGTTTCACAAGTGCCTATCTGCCGCCCTCGTGCCAGGCCCTGTTTCGAATACGATCATTCGAATACAATAACACATTCGAATAAAATATTCGAGTAAAATTCACTCGAAACTCCGCTTTTTGACTATTCGAGTTTTCGAACTTAGTCCGAAAATGGGAAACTACGAGATTCGAATCTCGAATGCGAATATATATGAATGTTTTATTCGAGTGATCGAATTATTATTCGATTTGACCCAAGTAAAATCCTTTGTCGATGTGAGTACCTTTTATGGACGTTTTTATCAGCAGGCTGACATTCTTCCAAGTGATCAGGGAGAGACCGGACCATGTGGTGGTCGGGCAAAATGTGGTCCTTGGTTTTTAACAAATATAGGGAATGGCACAACCATGTCCGCACGCGTTCACATGATGCGCCATGTCAGCACACATTCGCCTCTCAACATGAACAACAATTTTTAAGAAATTTACAGAAATTATTTCCAACTTCTCCTGTCAAATTCCTACATGATGCACACCAAAAGAAAAATTGACTCACTTTCACTCCTCGTCTTTGACAAGCGGCACCAAAACGCTACCATAAAAGAGACAGTGCGAGAATATGTTTGGAAAATTTGGAGAGAAAAAACACAGTTAAATTAGACGTAGAGAAAAATCAAAGAAAAATAACAACATACAAAGTCGTCGCAAACTTGCTAGCTATTTGCGCATTTGCAGCATCAGTCATACTGTGGTATTAGGTTGTCCGGAAAATAATGCCCGTTTTGAATTTCAACCGCAATAAGTCATACACTTTTCACTTCTGAATAGGTTGCAAAGTACCGTTCGATAGAGCAAAGCAAGCTCTACAAGATGGCAGTCTTGATTTAGCAACAGCTCTAATCCACCACGAGTTTCGAGCCAAAAACAAAAAAGATCCAACTACCCGAAAAATTGAAAAAAATCGTAACTCAGCTCATAGAAATCCTACAAAAATTCTTATTTGCTCACGTAAACACTATCCACATAAAACATCTATATACGCCTTTGCCGCATTTATTTCTCTGTTAGAAATCAAGAAAACGGAAATTTTCATGCATTTGCCAAAGTGACGCTGTGCAGTTCCCACATAGGTAGTTGTATACTATAAACCTGTAGAAGTGCAAACGTAAATTCTCAGCTCTCTACAAGCTTCAGTTCTCGAGAAATTTGAATTTTAGCTTGGACCACCTAGCTAGGGAAAGCTATATTCGGTATTTCTCGAGAACTAAAGCTTGTAGAGAGCTGAAAATTTAAGTCTGTACCTCTACGGGCTTGTGGGGTACAACTACCTATGCGGGGATGGCTCAGCATCACTTTGGCAGATGCACGAAAATTTCCGTTTTCTTGGTTTCTAACAGAGAAAAAATGCGGCAAAGGCGTATATAGATGTTTTATGTGGATGGTGTTTACGTGAACAAGTGAGAATTTTTGTAGGATTTCTATGAGCTGAGTTACGATTTTTTTCAATTTTTCGGGTAGTTGAATCTTTTTAGTTTTTGGCTCGAAACTCGTGGTGGATCAGAGCTGTTGCAAAAGCAAGATAACCATCTTGTAGAGCTTGCTTTGCTCTATCGAACGGTACTTTGCAACCTATTCAGAAATGAGAAGTCTATGACTTATTGCCGTTGAAATTTAAAACGGGCATTAATTTCCGGACAACCTAATATATCCCTGTCTCTGCAGATGGGGCAAATTTGAAGATCCTTAGGAGCTTCCGATATTTTTCAGAATTATACAAAAAAGTGTAACAGAATTATCCCTATTCTAATATAATTTTCCGATGGCCCCCAGCGCATTGAAGAAGACATCTCATAGGTTGATTATCATCCTGTTGTGTAAAACATCGTGTGATTTTGCATATATAAAAATGCGCAATTCACCTATCGACAAGAGCTATACACAATATGCATTTTTAGCCTGCGATCTAAAGGTACCTGGCTTGTCAAACCGTTTAACGACTGCAGTCGTGCGGGATATGTCTAGGGCTTGAACGCAGTCTGAGATTCAACATCGTGGGGTTAACATAGCTGTTGGTCAAGCTATGTTAACCTCATAGGATAAGGGATAGCTTTAACTTCCTTTTTGTTAAATACGACCACACGATTTCTATTCTTAGCCAGTGTTAGTCTGACATCAATGATCTTTACATGGCATATCAAGTTGTGTAATGTTTCAGAGTAAACATTTTGAAGTGAAGCAAATGCTTTAGTTGAGTTCATTTTTTGTGGTGTCGCTTCCGTCGAGTGGCTCAACATACCATGCTTTCAAGAGTTAGTTTCGTGATCCTCCATCCCAGGCTACGAATGAGATCTGCCAACTCTTTAGGAGATCATTAAAGCTGAGAAAGCAGGAGAAGTCTTTAATCCGGATTATCTGCGTGAAGCGATACAAGTAAAGACACCATGGATTCGAAATGCCCTTACAGAATTCTTCGGCAGTTTTGTAATGCTGGTGTGTGTGCGCATTCAAGCACTCATCTCCTAAGTGACATAAACTTAAATTTTAGTTTATTGGCATTGGTATTGTGATGCAGTTTGTATTATCCGACGAGAAATTGAATACATGGATACAGATAAACGTCGGATGGGGATTTGCTATAGCTTTTACGGCATACATCGGATCGAAAACGTCAGGTAACTGCTTGTCACGAGTAGACGATAATGTATCAGGCTGATATGAAAAAGACTCTCAGGTGGGCATTATAATCCTGCCGTATCTTGGGCAATGGTCACATTCGGTAAACTTTCCGTGTGGGAATTCCTCATATACTGTGTTGTGCAAACATTGGGCGCATTCATGGGATCAATCGCCGCTTTTGGAATTTACTATCGTGAGTATCATAGCTTTTTTTGCGCACATTCCGGCCTGTAGTCACTTCTGACTTGATGTGAAACTGAGGGGATTCATGATAAAATCAACACATCTTCATTCTCACTGCACTCTGTCAGATCGACCAAAACATGCATTATATAAGTGATGTGGGAAACGGCAAATCAGTAGTGCTGGCGTATGCCCTGATTTTTGATTTTTAGATCAATTCCTCAATTTCGAAGGACCAGAACATAAGATTGTTGGTGAAAAAGCGACGGCATCATGTTTCTGCTCATTCCCAGCTCATTATGTAGGAAATCTAACGTGCTTCTTCGATCAGGTATCAGAACAACTCTCTAAATGATATATGCAAATGCCTGATTCAGATTGGCGGTACAGCATTGCTGGTGCTATTCGTAGCTGCAATAATTGACAGGCGCAATAAAATTCCAGAAAGTGCACATCCTTTTCTGTTTGGATGCGTATTGATGATGATAGGTGAGGGTGAAACTGGGGGATAACCAATGCTTAGCCTTTTTTATGCGAAAATGCAGTTTATGAGCGCACCTCCTTCGTGCTCACCTAGCGTGCTGAAGTCCTCAACTTTGTGAATGATTTTCATGTATGGGCCCTCCAAAATACGCTAACCCAAAATTTTGTCCCACAATTTGTGAGAATATCTTAAACTTTAGCTAATAGCCAATGAGGTGGGCTATACATTTCATCCTACAATCTAATTGCCAGCGCTTAGCTTTAAGAACCAAAGCGCGAGGATGCTGAATCGAAGCTTCCGCAGTATTGTAAGCTTGACATAGGCAGAATTGAAACACGTCTCCAAACTGTTTTTCTCTGAGGATTGAAATTGACAGCAAAAATACGGATTTGCAATCATCTGCTCAGGTTGCGCTTATGGCATGAATCTTGGTTATCCTATTAATCCAGCGAGGGACTTGGGACCAAGAATTTTCGCTTCTTTTATTTACGGCAGTGAAGTCTTTACGTAAGCACTTTTTCTAAGATTGAAACAAGCACAGGACCGTCTTTTATTCAGGTATCATAACTACTATTTCTGGATACCTATAGTCGCACCCTTCTTTGGTGCGACAATTGGAGCATGGTCGTACCACATTTTCATCGGCGCCCACATTCCAGACGATGATGATGAGGAAGAATCAAGTGTTGAAGAAATTCCACGTGCTCAGCGAGTGATGTGGCACTCTGCCGAAAAGTAGTGGCTAAATGACGTAAATATGGACAATCTCTTATACAACGTTAATATCTCGTTGCACATTTGAAACGCAGACATAGAAAACTGCGTTAAAATATTTGGAATAAAGTTTTTTTTTCAATTGTTTGTAATGCCTCAAGAACCCCAAGAAAACATCTAGCTTTAACAAGACACGCAAATAAGTCTCAAAGGCCTCAGTATTTTTGTGCACACTGCCTATCTTCTCATGTTATGCTGCTTCAGAGCCTATGAGCAAAGTCAAGGAGCCGTGATGGACTCACTCTCTGGGATAAAAGATAAAAAAATTACCGCTAAACATGCAGTCACGCAGATATCAAGTCGTCGAAAAATAATGACGCACCACATGCTACTGCAAGCCACTCAACAGAGCAAAGGGCAAAGAGGCACTGCAAGATGACCACTGGACAATCATATGTAGCAAATCACAAGTTTAGCTAAAATTCAAGAACATTTGAGCATTCCAGGAGGCGGGTCTCTCGAGAAATCTGCAAAATTCCGCTTGATTACTTATGTATCTTCGATTTGTTGATCACACAAACTGGTTATCAGTCCAGATCACGCGCCGCGAGCTGAATCGCTTACCGCAGTACAAACCGTCAATGTACAAGTTGAGTAGCAGCATTTTAGTCGCGCCGCGCGTGGTCGGCAACGTTCAGGCAGCTCGTGCGGTCAACGAATTAACGGTAGCTAACATATTAATACCCTATACATATTTCCTCTTCTTCTTCGCTGTACTAGAGAAAAAATATAGACAAGATATAGTAAAATCCCAACAATACTGAAAATTTCTATAAAGGGATTCGTTAAGCAGTCTCTCAAAGTACAACCGTAACTACAGCCTTTACCTTTCATTAGGTTGGAAAGTAAGTTTTGCAACCATCTCACTAACTTTCTTCTTTTCCACATGGCGCACTCAAATTTTGTTATTATGTAGATTATGACGTAAGCTACGAATGAGCAGCTCTCCTGCCAAATTCTGACGTCGCAGTGAAGGTTACGGTAGGTATATGGTACACGGGGAGAAAACTATACAAAATACTATACAAAATCTTGCAGATTTGGCTGAAACTTGGCATAGATTTATTCGACACGTTGTTCATGGAGATGACATTGAAATTGCATGGTAAGGGCTTATTTGCACAATTACTGTAAGTTTAGGGTTTAAGGTCTGGCCTTTATCGAGAAAAAAAGTTCCAGCAATATGATATTCATGTTTGTCAGATAACCCCAATATGCATCTCGGCGAATTCTGAGGTTTCGACTCCTTAGCCATTGGAGGTTGTCCTCAACAACCTTGCCTCACAACGACTCATTTGAATTTGTAAGGGCGCCAAACCTCGTCTTGCCCTTAAAGGCAGAGTCCAGGCGCCCATGGATATCCGATTTGCGTTGGTCCAATCCTTTGACGTGCCCTCTAAAAGGAGATACGGGTCTGTGATACGTATCACAAGCCGCCCCTTCGTATCACAAACCACCCCTGAGGACGAGTGCTTACGCAGGTGTGAGGTTGCATTGCAGTTGCATTGCAGTTGCACTGCACAGTGCAATGCAATTGCATCCGTACAGTTGCAGCTCCTCCCGCTGGCATGACGATGGGGACGAGCAATTCGAAACTCGTCCGCTTCTTGAAGAGAGGGTCCCCAAGAACAGGGTTTTTTGGGAGTTTTGAACAATTTGGACTCTACAACTGTAATCAGGGCCACGGAAAGGCCCCAAAGTGGCAGAAACATGAGAGGCGAAATTTTGCCGGACGCTGCCTTTAAGTTTCGTTTCTTTTTTACTGAACTAAATCAGTCAGCCTTTGGTAATACAAGGTGTTCCATAAGTTCGTAGCGTTTTTATAAACCAAGCAAATCATCAATTTACAGTGAAAGTCAGTAGTATATTCCTCGAGCACACGAACTTTTAGCACACTCCTCTTAGCTTCTCAATCTCAATTTTTCAAACGGCAGCGCGCCGGGTCCAGGGCCCGGCACGAGTCGGTTTCTAGGGTTTTTAAAAACGAAGTCTCCCCTGACTTTCGTAGTTTTACGAAGTCCCCCTTGACCTACCTGCTTAGAAGAAGATGGAAACAAGAAAGATTTACTAGTATGAAGGAAAAAACGTGAGATAAGAAAGAAAATCCAAGTTGGAGCTGATTACTATGCATGCACAAGAGTTTGCTATTGGAGCGCGATATCTAACAAAGCGATTCATGAAGAAATCAAGGCAAAAAACGAAGGAGAGGCAATGATATGAAAATGTCTTTATGCTCAGGGATACATTTTTGATAGGGGAATCGACCATGCTAAAAAGATCCGAAACTTATGTGAAGTGACAGAAATATATGCTCCAGACGATCTCAGATCGTCGGTGGCCGTCTGGAGACGATCTAATTTTGGAAAAGGTATTACTTCACATAAGTTTTCAAAACTTTTTACATAGGTCTTCCTTAAATAATATTTTACTTATATGGTACAAATTTGGTGTCAAATGCTTATGTTTACGCTCTAAACAAGCAATTTGTTTACTTTAGCCTTGCTTTCAAATCGCGCGCACTTTTCGCCATACACGATAGAGCATGTCAATCGTGTGATAACCTGCCCAAAAAGCTTGTGTTGGACTAAATGGCGCTTATTCTTGGTGCTTGGCCCCCGATTCGTCAAAAACGATATCTCCTTTGCTTTTTGCTCCAAAAACGAAGTCCAGTCTGCTTCCAGACGATCTGTGACGGGCCCTGGCCGGGTCCCAAGAAAGCATCTAATCAGCGCTCAAATTACTCACTGAAATCGAGACCCGCACCAATTTGCGAGAGAGCGAATAAATGGTGATATGATAGAGCGGGATTGGAGAGTACGTTGGGTACTGAGGGTACTGAGTAGCTTCCAGTCAAATCTTGCACGATAGTTTTGACGAGTTCGCCGTATGATGTCATGTTTCGTCATGCAAAAATAACTCACTGGATCTGTCTATTTAGTTTTTTCTGCGGGGCCTGGTTAAAACGGTGCAGCTAGACCTGCTTACCGTACGGTTGACTGTCGCCTACTTGTCCGCCAATTTTCAGCATAGTTTCAATTGTTATAATGTATAATTTTCACTTTTCAGGATACGCAAAAAGATTCACGTATTAATGTGATTTGTTCTCCGCTTGACTAATCTTTCACTTTCTGGATCACTTACGAAAAGGATGCACAGAAAGTTTCCAAGTTGTCTGTGGTTGTTTGATAACACTGATTCTTTCCCACTCTCTGACTTGCTTAGGATGCCCAGAGATTTAAGAAAAGTTTACACGACTGATTTCTCCTCCACATCTTTGGATCGCTTACGAATAGATACACAAAAACCTTTAGAGAGCCGGTTGGTTGTCTTCTTCCTGCCACGCAGGTCTTGCGGCCTCGATAGCTCCGGTTGCAAATGGAATACAAGGTGGTTTCACTGGTCGATGCACCAGTTTGGTAGAAACCAATGTCTCACTGACGTTAATGGAATCGTTGGAATTGTTTATTGAGACGAACCCCGGTGTTGAACAGCGGGGAAGCAACCTATAATACAATCGGGGGCTCCTCATATAGGTAGTAAGGAGGAGCTGACCCGTGCACAATCAGACTGTCCAAGAAATATATACAAGAAAGAGGATGTTAGGCTTGGCGCGGCCCCTGGAAGAAAGATAGGTGCCACTCATTGGTGAGTGATTCCGCACTTAAAGGCAGTGGATCGGCAAAATCCAACAACTCCGGATTTTAATGCGGTAGTTTCCTTATCGCCCAGTATGAAAACAGTGCAATCCCGGTTGCACAGCGTGCTTTCTCTGCCGAGCAAATCGCTCCCAAAGTTACACGCGCAGGCCAATCTTACACGCATCTGGACGAGTTGGCAATTTCCTTCTCACCATTGGAGGCTGCCCGCCGCAACGCTATAACCATTGGGTCCTGTAACGATTTAGCGTCATCGGCCTTGCTCCACTCGTCTAATTTCAAAGGGATGGGCATTAAAGACGCTTATTTTCGCCGTTTTTCAAGCTTTCAAAAGTGGATTTTCGGGATCAGCGTATTGAATAAACCCAGGAAAGCGGAAATTTGACTAGGCTGAGATGCCGTTAGAGCGTTAGTTGTGTTGAAGCCACTGCCAAGCGGCTGGGGAATATAGCCTATGGAGAATACCCGTAAGCTATTAGGAGCTAAGAGTTTACTATTATTGTTGAGTTGATGATACAATCATCAACAGCAATAGTTCACACACAATTTCGGATCACTACGCATTGCATAGGTTGCTAACGGCCTCATTTTGGCTTACAAGCCCAAAAATTCTCGAAATTCACTAGTTTTGGAAACGCCTCGAATTTTTCTAATTCGTTTTCAAAATTCACATAGTTTGTGCGCTGTTGTAGAACACAACGCTCTATATATTCCCAAAGTTTGAGTGCGCAACATCCAAAGATATAAATTTATGAAGGAAATTGCTAAACTTATCTTCCAGCCTAATATTTCCCAGGATGCTCAAAAATATTTAACAATTTTTTTCTATACGACAAACTATCACCCACTGAGACCAAAAGTAAGATAATTGACAATGCTTTACAGATTCTTTCAGTTTTGCGCTTTTTTGCCCTTTCATCTAGAATGTTGCATGCAGCTTTTGCGGACAAAGAAAGAGAAAGAGCTCTGAGTCCCCTGCAAATGTCAAAATTCAATAATATCAAGTCACATATCACCAAACTCTCTTGTAACAAAAATTGTCAAGTCTTACTCTTTGACTAATGAACGATTCCTTCAATTTAAAAAACATTTCTGAGAGAGCCTAATCAGGAAATGCGCTATTTCACATAATTATAGTCAGAGATCGAGTAGGTCAGCAGGAGTCAGCTCCGCCTCACTAGCTCTATAAGGAGCCACCGATTGTATAATAGGTTGCTCACCCCGGTGTTCAGCACCGGGGTTCGTCTCAATAAACAATTCCAACGACTCCATTAACGTCAGTGAGACATTGGTTTCTACCAAACTGGTGCATCGACCAGTGAAACCACCTCGTATTCCATTTGCAACCGGAGCTATCGAGGCCGCAAGATTTGCGTGGCAGGAAGAAGACAACCAACCGGCTATCTGAAGATCTTTGTGTATTCTTTTCGTAAGCGATCCAAAGAGGTGGAGGAGAAATCAGTCGGTCGTGCAAACTTTTCTTAAATCTCTGTGCATCCTTTTGTAAGCAAGTCAGAGAGTGGGAAAAAATCAGTGTCACCACACAACCACAGACAACTTGGAACTTTCTGTGTATCCTTTCCGTAAGCGATCCGGAGAGTGGAGCAAATTTTGTGAGTGCAGCACAAAACCACATAAAACCGGGAAACTTTCTGTGTATCCTTTTCGTAAGTAATCCAAAAAGCGGAACAAATTTTTGTGTGTGCACATTTCCAATCAATCTCATTGATCTCTCGCGAATCCTATCCAAGGACCGGAGATTAATTGAGATGAAAGGAAGGTAACTTGAGTCACGAGAGCTCATTTTGCCTTAAAGTCAAAGTTTGATCAAGAGCTTTTGACTCAAAAGGGTTGAAAACCAATCCTTTTCTGGTCAATCCAAGTCACCTTACCAGTCAGCACAGCGTTCAAGCCACCCAAGCACGCTTGCAAATCAGAGATCAGCACCACACCTGTCTTTACTCGACGGGTCACCGGAAGTTAATGAAACCTCGCTAACTTGTACATCCGAAAACGCAGCGAAGCTAACAGCTTTCTGAAGGCCAGGAAGAAAATAGAAGTCGGTAAATTAGCAAACATGACAGCTCTTCAACTCCTCAAAGTCAAAATCAACAATGCCTGTAAACTCTAAAATCCTACGAGTCCGAAGTGGAAAACTTAGAGGTCCCTTCACATTTCCAACAACAAATATGTGAAGAATACATCAAAGAAAAGGTAGGAGTAATAACAAATCTCCTCAATTCTTTACAAAACGCTGTGAAATTGCGAGAAACACAGCTCAGCACTGCCACTGAGTACTCAATGCACGCAGTGAAGAAAAGGAACGAAAGAAGCTGACGGGTTGAAATTAGCAAGCATTTGGAGCTGGAAGTACTTGATCTGGAAGTGATGGCAGTGCAATGGCAGAACCGTCAGTTCAGACAACATAACTGAGGTAGCAAACAACACTTTTGCATACACCTGCTCTAGTATCCCAAGTCAATCGGTCAGTGAGTTGGGACGAGGCTCAGTAACGGAACGAAGTGAACGCCACATAAAGTCCGAAAACCGCTCCTAGAGATTCCCACATTCTCTGGCAACTTCAGAGAGTTCAACTGTTTTTGGAGAGTGTTCGAATCACTCAGTCACTGCGACGAAGACCTATCGGATGGCGGTAAATTCCTTTTCCTGAAACAAGCGCTCAAAGGAAAAGCAGTGCGGCTCTGAACTGCATCCCCGTCGTTGGAGACAAATACAAGAAGGCCGTGAACATCCCGAAGAAGCACCTTGACCGGTCTGCTAACATGGTGGACCGGTCAAAGTACTTCTTGGCAGATGGTGGCAGATATACTCACACCGAAATAGAACGACTTCATGGAGCAAAAGACGATCCCGAAAGTTGCAGAGAAACGTTCGAAACAATCAATCCGCGAATCATCCACCTGAAACAAACGGGAATGAGGATGAACGCAGATAAAATTTGGCGGCGAATAATCTTGTATAAATTTCCTGAAAACATCTGCGCAACCGTACTACAGAAAGAAGCCGTACGTGGCCATCGCTTCAATATTTCGGATATTCTTTATGCAGTAGACGACATCTAACGGTGCAGGAAACCACAGCACCAACAATGGAGACACTTCTTCCAAGCAACACCAAACAAGCAACTATCTAGACGCAAGTATTGAAAGTCCAAAATGGAGGAAGGATATCTACAGCAGTCTCAACTTTCTACTAGCACCAATCATCATTTGCAAGTCTCTAGGATACAGCGAAGAACCAACTTCGATCATTGCAAGACGAATGAAGTACACATTGCGCCAGACTCGGCGAAATAGCGAAGAAGTCTACAGCGCAAGCAAACTACCAGTCGTATGCCAAAGCGTACTTCAAACGGCTTCAGCCTTGATTTTCAACGAGGCAGATTGGGATTATCAGCCCATAATGATACTTATCGACTCTGGTGCCCAGCGAAGCTTCACCAGTTCAAAACTCAGTGAAAATAAACCTGCCTATCTCGAAAGACTTCATTCACCACATCAGGAATGGAAAAATCGAAAGAGACCTTCAGCTCCGATGAAGTACTAATAACCCTGAAATGCCGTCACAGTGCCGAAAACTTTATGAAGTAGATGCTCATCTTACAAGGGTTCCTTCTATTTTTCGTTCAAAGTCCAGAAAAATTCATGAAAAACTCATTTTTTCGAACGCGTTTGCTAAAAATCTTAATTCTTATTGCTAAACAACCGAGCATGATCAGTTTTGGTTTCGCGAGAAGGTAGAATTCTTGAGTTTCATTTGATTTGGTCCTGCGAGCAGGTGAAAAAACTCGACGTTTTGTGGGGTGATGCCTCATCTTGGAAATTCCATCCTCTTGTCCGTCCAAATGTCACGATCAGAAAAATCCTTGAAAAAATTATTTTTTCGAATGTTTTTGCTAAAAATCTTAATTCTTATTGAGTGCCTGGCTGTGCTACGTCTACGTCCCTTTACGTAGAAAACCATCAGCTTATCAACTGCCACTCTCCAAAATCGGCGAAAAACCAGGCACATCACTTCAGCACCAAACTGAGCTGATTTGAAGCATAGAGAAATAATCTTCAGGTAAGTTCGCACATTGTCAGATAGTACTATTTAAACAAATATTGCATACAGTCTCTCCCAATTGAATCAGGCCAGAGCGTCGGCGTAAATTTGAGTGTTCGCAGCGCTGGCGTGGCTTCCGCACTCTGGCGGGAACCTAACATTTGATTCAACTGGCTTGGCACCATTAGGGCGGGGTTTTTCGATCTAATTGAGGCCGCTCGCGCCCGCGACGCACCTGCGTCTCTCTCGCGCGAATGCTCTCTGATCATTACCTAGCCTTAATTAGGTCACGAAGCCCCGCCTTTGCGGATGCCAAGCCAGTTGAATCAAATGGTAATACTCGTTTGCGCTTTATATGCGAGATCAGGTGAAGATGAAGAGAGAGCAGATAAGCAAGCCGTAGCCATGATGTGTAACTGTGGCGATGTGGATCACTCCAATTTCGGCCGCCAATTCACCCTATGAACTTGCTGATCAGACGTAGGCAAAGCGTGTTCGTGTCTTTTCGGAGAAATGAAATCGATTTGTTCGAACGTTACTTTTCAACTTCGCGCGCTCAAAGAACACCTTTAGACATGTCCATCATACTAACTTATATTGGTGAGGCAAGGTATTGGCAGGTCTGCTAAGTCTCCGCATGCTTAGCGTGTTTTACGACATCCCATTGCTTTCTGCCCCAAAGCAAAGTCTACCCCTCAGTAAGGTAATTCGCAGGCAGAGACAGGACGCGCGGCGGACGCTGTCGGCGTCTCTGACATCATATAGTCCTCTAGCCTTTCCCAATGCGTTCGCAGCGCAGAAACCAGCACCGCTAAGTTAGGTAATTATGACCGAGTCCATATTCATTGAAGCACATTGAGAGTGCAGTGCGTGACGCGACGTGGATCCTGAGACATGCGCCATACTTGCTCCACTTAATCCACTTCGCTATTGGTCACTTTGAACTGATCATCCACTTTGCTATCAAGGCTAAGCGGGCCGAGTAGATAGACTATGAGACTGCCTGCATGCAACGCGCGACATGTGGTGTGTTCGAAATCTGAGACTGGTGCGCTCCAGAGCTAATATCATGACCCAATTGTGCTGATTCTCAAATCTGAGAAATACTTTGGGTTTAACTTAGAGTACTTCATTTCCATTGAAGAGTTGGTGATTCTCGTGCAGTATCTCAGAATCGTAAGAACTTATTTTATAAGCGGTTTCATATTATTGCTTTCTTTGCTGCCATTTTGGTGATTTTTTTGGAGTTGTTCATTTACGTTACTCTTGTTTACTGCTTTCATTGCTGTTCGTCTCATATATCTATACGATTATGCATTTTATGAATTACCACCCAATTTCTCAGAGTTTGTCATGCCACGCCGAAAGCGAAAGGGAAGAGCGGCTAAAGCTGCTCTTCGCGGCCAGCTGGGAATTGGTAGAGTTGCCGCAAGACGACATAGGAGAGCTAAGGTATGATTACACTCTTTTACACTTATAGCTTTGAATAAGAGGTCGTTTCTCTGTCCATATCATTTTCGACTCTCACTATTTAGAAGGATGAGGATGCGCTTGACGATCAGGAGCGGGCCATGAAGCAAATCAAGGCTGCTGGAGCTGCTAAAGCCGCTGAAGATGACAAGGCGAAGTATGTTTTCGTTGTTGAAATTACTGCTTTTTCATGAGTTTCTAGTTTCACTTATCGCATTCTCTGAGTGAACGGAATTTTTAAATCTCGGTTTACTCGTCTTCTTTTCAATCTGCATATGCGATAGTAACTATCTGGGAAAATGCCAGAGCAATAGCAAAATTAGAAGATACTACTTTTGTACCAAAACTTCTGCTTCACCTGGTTTGGTTTTTCCGACAAAGACACTTTGCATCACATCAAGTTAATCAAAAATTTGATAGTCACGAAGCTTTGCTTTGAAAAATCTTCCTGGCATCATACTGTCAAATTTTGATCATATTATTTCCAATACTCAAATTTTTACCATATAAGATTTCTATTCGCAACTGTCAAGCTGGTTTTGACTTCTCGTTCTCCTTATCAGTTGAGCAGTGACTTGAAGTGCTAGCATTCTAGCGCTGTGGTGCAAAATCACAATTCAGGCAGCCTCATTCGTTTGTGATCCATCGAGGTGTTGTCGGGAAATATGTCAGAGCTTTGGAGCACGATATTCGGCAAATCATGGATCCTTTCACGGCCAAGCATCTGAAGGTAAAATAGGCGGAGGCTTCCGCATAAATCTGATTCCTTTTCATCGTTAATTCATTTAGATTATGAAACGCAACAACATCAAGGATTTTGTAATTCATGGCGCGGTTCTGGGCGTGACAAATATGATGGTTTTGACCACAAGCGAGACCTCTGTACAACTTAGAATGATGCGTTTCAGTCAAGGACCCACACTTACTTTTCGAGGTAATGCTTGTATATGTGTATTCGTGCGTTATCTCTCTGATTTTTTTACCTTTAGTGCCTGAATATTCCTTGTCCCGGCACATTCTCTCCACCCAAAAAAGGCCTCTTATCCACCAAAAGTTGTTCGACAAGCCTCCACTAGTCGTGATGAATGGCTTCAACCAGGTACAGTATTTGCTGCCTCTTGACCGTCACTATTGTCAATAATACAACTGTTTTTAGAGTGGTAAAAAGCATCTGCTTTTAGTAGAAACATTCATACAAAACATGTTTCCGTCTATAAACATCGATACGGTGAGTATATGCATGTACCTGACTAGTGCAATAAAAACTCATTGTTCTCAGTCACATCTATTTTTCCTTTATTCCTTCTTTCATGTTTCTTATTTTTCTATGCGTCTGAATTGATCCTTATTTACTTGGTATATAAGACAGATTTGGCGAGCATGTATTTAGCGTGGAAACTCTTGGGATTAGAAATTCTCTTTGTTAACCTATCTGTGGGTTTTGAAAACAGTGACTAGAACAACAGAAATCACCTTTCCATGCCTAGAAACTCAAGCGTTTCATTTTCTTGCGCATCTATTCGCGATTGTCGCTGAAATCTGTGGTAGGTATAAGATCTGCTCAAAAGATGTTTACAACATGTCACACAGAAATACTTTGAGTTTCACTCCATTCCGAGGATATGGAGAATGATATATGATATATGAAAACACAAAATCACTCTCTTTATGTTCATCCACCAACCTGAAATTGTTTGACCTCAATCGCATTCAGCGATTCTTTGATGTGATTACTACCTTTTCGATCTCGGAAGAATGCTTCATAATATATTACAGCTCGATTTGCGATCCGTTAAACGCTGTCTAATGGTGAACTATTGGGAAGAAGACGATACGATAGATATTCGACATTAGTATGTTATCTTTCACGTAAAGCTGATTGTTATTTGGATGCTTTTAGTTCGATTCGAGCAGTAGCTGCTGGGATTAACAAATCTGTAAAGAAATTAATAACAGCTGGTAAATCAACTACCAAGGAGCTGCCAGATCTATCGAAATATAACGATATTGCCGACTATCTGCTGAAGTTAGTGTCTAGATGATTACTGAATTCCATTCCCTTTTGTATGGTATCCATTCAGCCCCGGACATCTGAGCGACAGCGAATATGAGGGAGAAGAGCAGGAAATTATACTGCCTCAGAACATCAGTGAGCAAGGCGGTACTGTAAGAGGAGAGAAAAGTCATGTGCGGTGTGTGATTATTTTATCTACCACACGATCTACTTGATTCTGTATGTTTTAGTCTGATGGAGATTGGACCTCGACTGAAACTTGAATTGTTGAAAATAGAAGACGGCATTGATGAGGGTGAAGTATTGTATCACCGACTTGTACAGAAGACTGGTGCTGAACTGGAGATGCTAAAGAAGGAAGCTCCAAAGAAGAAGTAGGTCCCTGCACCATCATTGCCTCGGTAATTTTTTCTTTGTAGGAAGTTGAAGAAACGAATCGAGCAAGAAAATGAACATCGTATCATTCGTAAACTCGAAAAAGCACAAGAAGCAAAGAAACGAGAAGTGACTTTTATTGACATCAAAAATTCATTTTTGATGCAACTCGGTTACTTGTCCTCAGGAAGAGGAACTGAAGGCCGTGATAGAGAAGGCAGCAAGAAAACAAGCGGCAGCAACCGGACAGACTGAAGATATTGAGAATACCAGAGAAAAAGACAGAGAAATTGCAATGAATAGAGAAAGGTGAGTCAAATAAATATTTTTCGTAGACTTCTTACATTGTTAATGTAAAAAATCGTTCTAAACATAGTCTTTCCATGAATAATCATCAAGGTTTCCGGTGCTCATACATACCTTTTGAAGGAATAGTTTTTTAATAGCCTAAAGACTTTTCTCACTCTGGTTTATGGGCTCTAGTTATTTCTCGACAAGAGAGCCATTATCCTTCTTCCGATAATTTCTGGGCTGAGAATTCCAGCATGAGATCACTATATCCTATCATTGCATCTGCAACTTTGAAATTGCATCGCTATATGTCTCCCACACTATCTTGCAGCAAACATTCGGTGTTTTTCATTTATATATGGCAATTCAGTTTTTGAATTTTTAAGATTTTATTATTTTCATTTGCCTTCGTTGCTTTTCGGAAAACTCTAAGTAGGTGGATTGCTCGCAGCAATTGTTGACTGTACGGTCAGAGATAGCATATATGTTCTGTATGAGATGGTTAAAGCGTTTGGATTGACAAACCCTTACATCATCCTAAAGCTTGGTTCTGTTTGGCTCATGAAATCATGTACCCACTCCATGAAAACTCAAGTCTTGTTACTTTTTACGCTCATATGCTGCTGGGCGACGCAGTGAGAATGGTAGCGAGGAAAGATCCTACGTGCAATCAATTCTATGCTAATGGTTCTTGTATGATTGCTCGGTACTTTTCCGTTATCCGGACCCATTCTTCCAGAAGGCTCTCATATTATACGTTCTTTAGTCTAAGGATAATTTTTCATAGATTCTACGATGACTGCCTCCTTGCCACGTGTCACGAAAAGGTTGACACGTTTTGGTCCGTTTTGACATGTTTTTGGAAATCATTTTCGGTGAGATAAAAGAGAATTTGTGATCATTTTAAAGTTGTCTAACTGCTTTACATAAGAGAAACAGTCATGAACTTATCCCAGAACATCTTACTTGCTTTCACTGTGATTCAGAAATGTGTTTCTCTTCAAATCCTTTTCGCCATGCGAATTTAGCCGACAAGACTATTAACGATAGCTTGAAGTATCTTGTTGCTGCTTATCTTCTTTTAACACGTTGACGACAGTGCCGCGCAATGGTGCGCGGCAGGCAGTCTGTCCCTGTGGACGACGCCGCGCAATGGTGTGCGGCGGCCTTAATTTCAATACTATCTGTCCAATCCTCTCAGTTTTTGTTCATATAACCAACATAGGCTTAGATGTATCTCATGTATTAGCCCGCCCCTTTTTGGCAAACTCCGCCCACTTCTATACCCCTCACAGAGACCCTTTTTGTTCATAAAAAGCATGGATGAGGCCGTAGATGGACGCAAAGACCTCAAGTCACTTTTATACGGGCTCCGCCCACCGTCAGGCAAACTCCGCCCCCTGATTGGCAAGCTCCGCCCACTTTTTAAAAATGCCGGAATTCGCACGAATTCATTGATTCTGAACGATTTCCAGCATTTTTGGAAAGTGGGCGGGGCTTGCCAAAAGTGGGCGGAGCTTCCCCGCCCACTTGCATTTTTGTATCTCACGCATAGATGCATGCATACATATATGCAGCCGGCTGTGAAAATGCCCGGAAACGGTTCGTCCACAGGGACAGACCTTCAGAAAATGGCTCGTCGTCAACGTGTTAAATGACGGAATCCTAGCGCACTTCTCTATTACGAGCAAGTTTAGACTGTTTATCTATAAAAGTATGTCATTTATTATTATGACAATGTTCACTTTAACAGTGTTCACTAGATCCTAGGTTAGAAGAAATATTTTCCTTTGAAAAAATGGGTCCGGATAACGGAAAAGTACCGATTATTCTAATATAATCCTTGTAAATTAGCTTGTGGCTTTGTTTACCCAAATTTACTGTGGGATCAGTTCCTATAATCTTTTTACAAAACGCTCTTGTGTCTTCTCCTCTCCACCTTTCCCTCCTTTGCAAGCAAAAAACTTTGCTTTTAGCACTCATGTGTATGCGAATGAAATTTCTTATTTTTAAGTTCGTCCCTTGCTTAAAAAATAAAATCGAGCAGATTTGCATTTGGATCATTTGCATATCTGTTGCAAATGTTCGCCTAGCAGCCCTTCACTAGCACCAGATCAACTTCGAAATTCTCTTTCTTGCCATTGAAACGTTGAAACATTAATCTTTCACACGAAGTCAAACAGCTGCCGTTAGTTTTGTTTCAGCGTCAGTATTGTTTATTGGTAAAAATGCAACAATTAGATCTAAGAAGTTCATTTTATGTGCACAATCTTCTCTCCCTTCTCTCCCCCCTCCCTCCCCCGTACATGATTGTCGTGAACGTCACTTCAATACAATCAGTTTCTTGTGATGCTCATTTCGGCGCGTTTGAAAACTCGTTGGAGAGTGGTTGCAATTAGGAAAGGTCATTTCGATGGTAATGCGTGGAATCACAGCACTTGATTTGGAGAAAGTCTCAATTGATTGATGGATATTCTACTAGGACTGTGGTCTGCGAAAACTTCTTGAGGTTTTTTTCTGAAAATATGCAAAATATATAGAACCTGTGTATGTATTCTTTCTGCAACTGCAAGACCGATAACAGATACCTTTATGTGAGGTCATTATTGGACTGCGAAATTTTCAAGGTCATGGAAAAACAAGTCGTTAGAGGAAATGACCCGTAGATACAAAACATCAGGCTCTTCAAAGTTCAAGTTCAAGAATGTCCCGGTCAGCCTTGACTGGCAATTCGCGATTTTTGCCTTTTTTCTCATTTTTGGCGCAACTGTTGATTACTGCGATTTTTTGAGTCTATGGGTAATCCAGCCTTGGCTTTTTTTCTTTGAGTTTGGTTGGGAGAACGTCTTGTGGGTAATTTTTCAGGGTGCATATTGTTTATAGCAAAACATCGTCTTTAGCCCATAGCGATTTTTATCTTCTTTTTTTTCAATCAGGGAATAATCGTGCAGCGTGACTGTTGTTATTCAATCAGCTGTGATTGTTGTTTTATCAGTGGTCCAGAACAACTGTCTTTATATATTGGCTTACCGCCAGAGCAAAGATTTGTTCAGCTCAACATAGTTCTTCATTGGACAAAATACTTGGAAGCTCCAACTTTCTGCTTCCGGTAATTTTTTGCTGTTTTTTGATTGAAGAAATAAATTGGTTCTTAAAATCCTGGTCAAATTGAAATCAAAATTTTTCAACTGTCTTTGTTGAACTTTCAAACTTAGTGTGTCATTTATTTTTTGCAGTTTTTTTTTTCGAAATCTATTCAACGGATTTTTTGCATGCCTCATTGCCCTCGCCTATTCATTTCGTAAATTGCACGTTTGTTCTCTATTGAATTTTCATCCCATTATAGTTTTCTACGACTGGTCTAGGAGGAAATCCTGACAGAACATCACTATGACAAGCTTTTCATTCTTTGATGCGAACCGGAAAGTTCATTGTTTATTGAGGAGAGCTCGGAAATGTACTTTAGGGATGCTAAGTGGGAGTTCACACCGCTGTAAGAAGAACTTTCGTTTCGCGCAGTTGATATTGACTATCCGTTTACTTTAGTTTTTCCTCTCTATTGTAAAAACGGTAAGGTAAATAGGAGGAAACTTTGATTGGCATGCAAGCTTTTGCATGACGTTAATGCTTAGAAAAAGACGAATTGAATGTTTCGATGTAAGATCATGATATTTGTGGTCTTCGGTGTAATTTTTTCTTGGGACCTGTTGATCTTCAAAAGATAAAAAATATTATTGTGTAATTACAATATCTTTTTGGATTCCAAGTTTTTTGATTCTGCTATCATGGTATCATTTCCAGAGAAATGACTCAACAAAAAGGCGGTGGTGAAGGACAAAATCGACCGCTAGAGAATCCGAGAAAACGCCGTCGGAAAGACGGAGACCACATGAAAGACGCGAAAAAGAAGCCATTCGGAAAACATAGAAAGGACAGATAGTTTCGCGATGGGGGGCGGCGCATGTGTCGACCATTTCTCACTGTGAAGACTTGTTATTGCATCGTATGTTGTTTTTGTTAGAAAATTGTTGATTATGACTTGTTGTTGATTTCTTGTGGCTAGAGTGCTTATTGATCGTTTTTGAGAGATTATTGTTTCGATATGAAATTTTTATCAAAGCTAGAGTACTCAATCTATTTAAAGCTTGAATATCAATGCACAGTAGGTAGTCCATGAATGAGATTTTCTGAATTTGACTATATATAGCCCTAAGGGTTATCGATCGCCGCTCATGGACTTTTTTCGTCCTTTCTCTAGAGAGAGGGGCGCCGCGCATATATACACAAAATGCCATGGTTTGAATAAGGCCCCATGGCTTACTCATTCAACTCGTCATCTCTCATCGCGAAGACGAAAGTCGCTGCCCGATGTGCCCTGCGAATTTGATGCTTCTTGATTGATGATGTCTTATCCCATTTTTCGCTCACATTCCATTCAAAGTAGGAATATCCTCGTTCAGAATGTCTGCATTCCTCTAGCTCATTTTAAAGGTTACAATGATTTATCTGACCCCAATATGAAACTCCTTGCATCTAGCAACATATGCAACGTCGAAATATGGAATTCTTGCACTTCTGAGCTTCTACCGGCAGAGTCTTCGCCCCTCAGGAGAGCCAAGCCTCAATCGATTGCCATTTGAATGCTCGGGCTCCGTGCTAACGTTCCGCTAAAACCGCTCGCTCTTCAGATTCATAATGTGGCTGGAATTTTGCTATACATCTTTAGATCTTGAACTTTGTGTAGTTCCATTATTATTTTTATAGAAATCTTCAACCTGTCCTTTTCTAAAGCGCGCCTACCTCGGAAACATTGATCATTATCAGGGATACCTCGCGCGATTCGGCCGAATCGCCATTTTCATGCGACTTGGCGATTTGCCAGATTTCTGTAAATTTATCATGCGCAATTCTCGGACGCATATTTTGGTAGCTTGTGTAAGTTGTTGTAAATTAAGCAAGTCCTGACCAAGGGCAGCGCATTAACGACGAATTACCAAGAATCGCTGCTGTGCCAAATCGCGCAGCGACCGGAATCGCGTGAGGTATGCCTTAGGCCTTACAGTAACGCGGGTAGAGGAACGAACACCCTCAGTTAGGCACCGCAGGCCTCAGCGGGCTGCTAGTCCTTTCCTCCCAGTGTAGTGCATCATGTTGGGACCAGTAGTCCGCGGAGGCGGTGCTTGATTAAGCTGTTCATTCCTCCACCCAAGTAACGCCCCAGGGGCGTGGTAAAGTGCTGATGCTGACCCTGACACGCTTGACTAAATGTCGAGTATCACAAAATTTTTGATTGATTTCATGCATCGCTACTTGTATATTCACGTCCAGACCATAATTTCACATTTTTTGAAAAAGCTAAAATTGCGAGGACAGTTTATATGCGCAGTGTGCAGATTTGTACGCTCGAAGAACACTTCCAAAAGGACAGAAGTAAAAGTTTAGATTTATTTTTGATTTTTCATTTTGGTGATGTTACGGCTTCAGAAAAATGTTGTTGGTTTTGATGAAACGTGTGGAACATTCTTGAAATTCAAGCGACTTAGAATGCCAAAGAACGAAAAGAGTTCTCCAAGAAAAATTGCAGATGCACTTTGAACACAACTAATTAGTTTTGTGTGCCGCCGCTTTTGTGAAGTACCAGATGTTTGATGAACGCATTTTCCCAAATGCATTGTGGCAGATGCGTGTCTTCTCGGAGTTTTTCTTCGATAGTCATAGTCGTTTCTCTACTTCCTATTCATATGTGATCAATTCATTGCGGCAGATACTGGTCATCAAACAAGAGACAAGTTTTTTTTTCTTGAAGCACTAGGTTTAAGGAATTTGTTGGCCATATTTTGAACCCGTCTTCCAAAGCAAATTATGTGTAACTAGCTGGCTTATTCGGCTCCGCCGTATGTTCCGAATAGAAAATTCCATTTCTTAACCGATCCGGACCAAACTTGGCACACATACACTTCGGGCCCCGACGGGTGTCATAGGCTACTTTTCGTATCGATCGATGTCGATTTTATCGATTTTTTGCAAAATTTGAGCTACGGGGCTGGGAGTTGGCATAGGGGTGTAATCGAGCATGGGGGTTCCGAATACAATATTAGTTTTCGAAACCGTGCATTACTTTTATCGATTTTATCGATTTTTTGCAAAATTTGAGCTAGGGGGCTGGAATTTGGCAGAGGGGTGTAATCGAGCATGCTGATCACTCCCACGGGGTTGATCAGCATGCTCGATTACCCCCCTGTGCCAAATCCCAGCCCCGTAGCTCAAACTTTGCAAAAAATGATAAAATCGATAAAAGTAATGCACGATTTTAAAAACTAATATTGTATTCGGAATCCCCATGCTCACTTACCCCCCTGTGCCAACTCCTAGCCCCGTAGCTCAAATTTTGCAAAAAATCGATAAAATCGACATCGATCGATACGAAAAGTAGCCTATGACACCCGTCGGGGCCCGAAGTGTATGTGTGCCAAGTTTGGTCCCGATCGGTTCAGAAATGGAATTTTCTGTTCGGAACATACGTACAGACAGACAGACATACATACATACAGACATACAGACATACAAACAGACATTCAGCTTTATATATAAGATTTCCTGAAGTGTATAAAAATGGAAGAAAGTAAAATAAATTACATTTATTAGGTCGTTCCGAAAGTAACGTCGCTTTCTTCAAATGAACCCCACTTTTCTTGTAACAAACATTTTCAAAAAATCTTGGTAGCACTCGATGCAGCATTTTATCCTCTTTCTAATGATCAAATTGTTGCGGCACAATCAATGAGCTCTCAAAAAATTACCAAATTATCTGCGACCTAAACTTTTGAGATAGTAGAGTTGCATAATTTTTCTAAACTTTCGGATCAACCCTGAAGTCCAAGTGAGACTTCGATGGAGGATACGGCACAACTTTTTTTCTCTTTTCGGTAGCTCGCCAGAAATTTCTAAAAGATTTCTTTACTAAAACCATCGGATTTTGGGAAGCCTGCGTCAGCCACAATCGCATCAAACACTTCGAAATTTGAAACTTCCAAGAAGTACTATCATTTAGCATTAATTTTACAAAGCAAATGAGAATTTAGAGATGCAAAAGGTCACATTCTGAGTCTTTCAGGTAGAGCCTGAGGCGCGTTCAAAAGCACGAGTTATGATGATTTTATCCTCGAAGATTTCAAGAATCGGAAACAAAAGACACCCACTAGAAAGAGGAGAAAAAGCTGCATTGAATAGCCCTTTGATGTTCTACGAGGTTTTGATTGACTGTACGGAAATTGCTAGCCAATCAAAATTCTATCAAAAAAGTATGACGAGTGGGGAAGTAGAGATAACTTGTTTTGCATCCTGTAGGCTTTGCCCTATAAAATACGTTACTTAGACTCCTTCAGGAGGTCGATATAAAAGCTTTAAAAGATTGTGAAACTTGACCATCTCAAAAAGCACGGGTCACAGATTTTGGTAATTTTCTGAAAGCATTGATTAGAAAAAGGATGAATGCTACATCGGATGCTACTAACGATAAGATCTCTTAGAAATCTATGTTTCACGAAATGTGACATTCATTTGAAAGAAGCGACATCACTTTCGGAACGACATAGTATAAAGAAAATGCTCGATCTTTGCAGTTGTGCTGCGCTCAAAACTGGCTTCAAAACTTCCAAAAGTATTAGGTCGTCACGAAAGTTTGTTCGCACCATTTTCGAGAATTCATAACCCATATAGTGAATTGTTTCAGAATGAGGAATTCATGCGATTTACAATGGCACCTAATTGGCCTTCTAGTAAGCCGTAGAGAAAATCTAACCAAGCAAAGTTTGTACTAATTGAGCGTTCCTATCAAAAGTTGTGAATGGAGAAAAATGCCAAAAATTCCGTTCTATGATCGGCTCCCAGATTCGGGAGGCGGGTTGCGGACTTCCCTGATTTTAAGGATAAGCTTATCGAGATAGTACCAAATACATGCTGTAACGTGGAGGTTTAACAAGTTTATCATGGAAATCAGGGAAGTCCGCAACTCGCCTCCAGACGAGTGTGGGAGCCGATGATACGTTGCTTGCTCAGAAATGAAACTTTTTATAGAAGAGCTCGTCGAAACGAAATTATTGTACTAAGGTACGCACCAGAAGGTACAGAATGTCGAGAAATTCGAAATTAGATGATCGAGCCATTTTTAAAGGGGATCAATTACCTCACCTATGGATGCTAGTGAAGGTTTGCCTGCTACCAATAGTTTTTTTCTGGTCTAGCCCGATAAAAATGTGCTTGAGTACACTTTTTGGGTGAGTATGCAACGTACTTAAGGGCAGTGTCTAGAAAAGTGGATTTTGAGATTTTATGCTTAGCTGGGCCTACGCACAATACTGAGCCTAAAAATCTGCACTAGAAAACATGAAAACGACGAAAAAGAGCTCTAACACAGGAGGGAAATGAGCTATCTGAGCGGAGGCTGTGAGGTTTCCACTTCCGGATCGATCTTCTCGGTTCTGGCTTCAAGCTTTGGGCGTGGCAGGTATTAGGGCGCTGTTAGGGGATATTAGGGCGCTTAGAGGAAACTAGAAGATCGCTCGGGAAGCTGAGTAATTCTTTAGAGTGGAACACCCCCGTCTGCTGATTTCCCTTTTGCGTTAGGGCTCTTTTCGCCATTTTCGCGCTTTTTCGCGGCTTTTCGGACTCAGCATAGAATAGGCGCGAGTAAGCAAAAAAATCTCTAATTCGACTTCTTGACCGGGACACTGCCTTTACAGGCAGTGGATCGGCAAAATTGACCCTTCTCAGATTTTGGTGGAGTTAGGTAGTAGACCTCCTGAGCAAAGTGTAGCCCAGACCCCACCTTCCAATCAGAGGTGCGATAGGTGGAGCCGGGCCCCCCAAAAGTGAAGGTGGTTCCAGCTACCACTGACCGGCCAAAAGTGAAGGTGGTAGTGCCGGACACTCACCTCCCAAAAACGTCGACGGGGGGGGGGGGGGGTAACGTCGACTGAGCCTATCTTCCAGGGCCGGTATGTATCAATCGCCCATCCGGGTAAGTTACCCGGACAGATAGTTTCCGCTTCATAGCTCGGTGCTCTGGGGATCTGTGTTCTTCCATGTTTGTTCATCTTTAGAAGGCTCTACTATCCTAATACTGCAGCACAATGAGTAGCAGCACTTTGCTGTATAAGCTGAGATAATTCGTTATTTCTATAATCCCGAGCGGGATCTCCCACTGATCACGCTCATTTTCAAAGTTATTTATATCCGCAAAAACTCAATGAAAACGTCATAGAGTTTTGCTGTCGATCTATTACGACAGTGCTACGCATGTTTGTGAAAGAAATAAGTGGAAAATCAAGTTGACAAAATCTTCGATGAACCTGTGCTCGCGAGTTGGGCTTTAATCGAGGAACTCAAAACTTGCACATTTCATCTGTTATACTAAAAACATGCGTAGCACTGTCGTAATAGATCGACAGCAAAACTCTATGACGTTTTCATTGAGTTTTTGCGGATATAAATAACTTTGAAAATGAGCGTGATCAGTGGGAGATCCCGTTCGGGATCATACAAATAACGAAATATCTCAGCTTATAGAGCAAAGTGCTGCTACTCATTGTGCTACAATATTAGGGTAGTAGAGCCTCTCAAAGTGAACAAACAAGGAAGAACACAGATCCCCAGAGCACTGAGCTATGAAGCGGAAACTACCTGTCCGGGTAACTTACCCGGATGGGCGATTGATACATACCGGCCCAGGTCGTTGCTGCCAGTGCGCGGAATATAAGCAAAACAAACGCAAAAAAGATCATTGAAGGCATATTTTTAGGAACACGGCGGCATATTTATTTAAAACGTGTTTAGTAAATGGTGTATTTGGAAGTAAAAGATAGCGGGACTGTACGGATTTTATTAAGTAAATTTTGTCATAACGTACTACAAACAAAGTAGGTCGATCCAGGGAATAACCGCCGAGAACCAGAATTTTGAATAATAAAATAGCGATAAATTATGCGAAATTTCCATTTTCATAAATCTTGCGGTTGAAGATGTCAGCAATTGCGACTTCATAGGTTTTGAAGGGCAAGTGTTGTTCTACCAGACAGTGAAAGAATTAGGTCGATCTGAGCAGTGGCCGCCGAGAACGAGAATTTTGAAAAATTAAGCGATTTTAGGTTACTTAGTGACAGCTGACGTTTAGACTCCTATAAATCTGGAATGTGAAGGAGTGCAATGTTGCGACTTCATAGGTTTTGTAGAGTAAGGATTGCTGTATCGGACCATGTCTTAGCCGTAACGATCCAATAAGATATCGCCGAGATTCAGGCTCTTGAAAAAACAAGTGAAAAACCGCTTTTTGAAATTCAACAGCGCATAACTTCTCCAGAATTGCATGAATCATGTTGCGACTTCATAGGTTGGATTCTCCTCATCAAGAGCTTTCAGATGATATATAATATGTGGGGGTTTTGCGCCTCTCACAGCATATGCCCGGGGGTGGAGACTTTTCACCCCAAAGTCTCCACTGGCGGTCTCCGGCCAGTACATTAAATGGGCGAGGTGGAGACTTTGGGGTGAAAAGTCTCCACCCTGGGTTAGAGCCGCAAAAATCATTGAACCCCCCACATATTATATATCATCTGAAAGCTCTTGATGAGGAGAATCCAACCCATGAAGTCGCAACATGATTCATGCAATTCTGGAGAAGTTATGCGCTGTTGAATTTCAAAAAGCGGTTTTTCACTTGTTTTTTCAAGAGCCTGAATCTCGGCGGTATCTTATTGGATCGTTACGGCTAAGACATGGTCCGATACAGCAATCCTTACTCTACAAAACCTATGAAGTCGCAACATTGCACTCCTTCACATTCCAGATTTATAGGAGTCTAAACGTCAGCTGTCACTAAGTAACCTAAAATCGCTTAATTTTTCAAAATTCTCGTTCTCGGCGGCCACTGCTCAGATCGACCTAATTCTTTCATTGTCTGGTAGAACAACACTTGCCCTTCAAAACCTATGAAGTCGCAATTGCTGACATCTTCAACCAGCAGATTTATAACAATAGAATCATCGCATGATTTTTCATTATTTTATCATTCGAAATTCTGGTTCTCGGCGGTTATTTCCTGGATCGACTTACTACATAGATATATGCTCCCAATACTTTCTTTTACCTTCCTTTTGCTTATTTTCCTTCTTTTGAGCTTCAACAAAATATTTTTTTCAACCCAAAAGTGAAGGTGGTCACCCCGTACCAGCTCAAAAGTGAAGGTGGGCGGAGACTCGGCTCCGACTATCGCACCTATGCTTCCAATTCATGCGCTATCCTGAAAAATGCGTTCCAAAGCTCCATCGGCCCCGCCCACTTTGGACCTAGCGCATAAATTGGCCGGTGGGGTTTGGGCTGCAGTGTATTTGAAGGGTCTACTACCTAACTCCACCAAAATCCGAGAAGGCTCCATTCCGATCTATTGCATTTGAATCCAGACAATATTCAGTGTATTATCGAGTCCCAGATTCGGATTGGGCGGAATTGGGAGATGTTATACAACTTGTATACATGCCAGAGTCGGTAGCGAAAGATTTCGCAGAGCAATGTTTCAAAATGAGGTTTGACAAGTCGATCAATGGTATCATAATCTTTGATTCACTGGGATTGGCGAATGGAAGGCGGGGCTTTGTGATCTAGTTGAGGCCCCTCGCGCCCGCGACGCGTTCTGCGTCTCTGTCGCGTGTGTGCTCTCTGAGTCTCCGGTTAACTAGGTCGCGAAGCCCGCCCTTCAGCCGCCAATCCGGTTGAATCAAAGGGTATATCTGTAATGTCCACCCTTGCCAGAATCTGGAATTCAAAGATGTGCATATCAGCCATTCTTTGGCTGAGAGACTCAAGAATGCTACGCGCATGGGCAAACGAGTTGAACTTGTGTGCTGTCTCATCACGGACATGTTCGTACTAGTTCAAATTGCGTAGCGTTCCCCATGGTCTTGAGTCAGTCAGAAAATGGATGATCGGCCTACTCCTTCCGCGGTCAAAACAATCTTGTCATGAGGCAGTGTCTTTTGGGACGGACACCATCTTGGACGCTTTAGGTGAGGTCATTAAGCTTTTTGTCATTGAACGTACGGACAAGACGTAAATGCACGCTCCTGCTTACCGCCCAACCAGTTCACTCTCATTTTTGGTGCCTGCCGTCTCCTCTATTCACATTAAGCTTGCCTTCCCATTGTGGGGACATACTCGCAGCGGTAATCTTTGGCGGCCCAACTACTAACAAAGAAAAGTCTAAGCCGAAGTGGCTATACCCTCAGTATATCAATAGAAGCAGCAAAGGATGCCGATTTCGCTTCTTCTAGTGAAACGCCTCTGTGGGTGAAGTAGTAAACTACTATAAAACTGCTCATAACCTCGTTAAGAAAGGTATGCAGCAGATGCAGAAAATAGATTAGAGTTAGCATTCTATGCCTCCAACCATATGTATGCAGTTTTCTGGAAGGGCACTTCGACTTCCGTTCCCTTGTTTCCATTGGAGAGTTTACAGTCTGCCCCAATCCCAACGAGGCCAAAATTGGCATGGCGGGAGTCCGTGTCGCGAGAGTATTGCGTCACGTCTACGGCTAGCTAGCCTTTTCTCTCCTCAATCTCGCTCTCTGCGACAGCTCGCGGAGGCACGCGCCATACTTGATCCGCTTAATCCGCTTGACCGCTTCACCATTGGTCAGTTCACTGACTTGACCAATGACGAAGCGGATCAAGCGGATCAAGTGGATTAAGCGGACTAAGTATGGCGGGTGCCGGAGAGCGAAGGGAGGTTTGGAGCGCAAACCCCTAGCGCTGCGAGCGCGCAAAATCAGCGGACGGTTCGGCCTGATCCCGCTTGAGACTGTACAGCCTGTTTTGCTTTGCCAATTTGTCATAGACACTGTTTAACAAAGAATAATTTCATGTGAGGCAATCCAACGCTTTCCAAAATTATAAGCTCTGCAGTTTCATTCTATTTATAATCGTCCTTCCCCCCCCCCCCCCTCCTACCACGACAACAAGTGGACGAATTCAAATTTGAACCAGAACACGCCGGTTGCGCTAGAGCGCGGCATTTCAGGCCTCAATTTAACCTCAAACCGAATTTTTTTTTGTGTTTTTCCGACTTTTCATGCCAATTTTCGAATGTTAACAGTCTTCTTGATTGGGATTAAAAATTTTGTTGCTTTCGAGCAATACGTGCTGCTATGCTCGTTTCTGCAACTACGACAGATTAAGGGGTGGAGGACATTAGGTCGCCGAATTTGGAAGAGTCCCAGTAACCTGTCTTGGAGTGTTACTTCCATGAACACCATGTCAAAAACTCCTTAGTGCGCCGTTTTTCCAACCTTATCTAAATACATACAGAAACGAGCAGAGTGCATGATACATCGCTAAACAGCAACAAACTCGTCAATTTCGATTAAAAATAAAAAAAATGCAATGTAACGACGAGAAGACACAGAAGAATGTTGAGTGAGCTTGAATCAGCTTCGACGGTGCCGCGCTCTGCCGCGACCGTCGTGCTCTAATTACTCGAATTTGTCCGCTATGGACCGACCGCACTACTCCTTTGATTGCTGCAATTTCTGCGATGCCTGTGATTCCTGCGGGTCCCGCAACAATGTGTATTGCGAATAAACAATATATACTGTAATTCATAAAGCGCTCCTTAGTGCGGCACGCCGGAGGTGGGTGTCACAGAAATTGCGGGATTTACAGCAATCGCAGGAATCACTTTCTGGAATAGTATGGCCGGTCCCTAGGTGCCTATCGGGGGAGGATGACTATACTTCAGTCGTAATCGTTGCAGTTATTCAGCTCGCAGTGGGATTGTAGATTGAAATTTTCGCTGTAATCGAATCTAACATGACTGCCTCTATGCCTACAACTTCTAGTAGTTCCTTCTTCTGAAGGTCCTGCGAGCTGTATTCATAGAACTTTGAATGCCACAGAGGATGCTGGCGTCTGTAATTAGGCGTAATATAAAACCAGGCGCAACCTCACAATCTTTCTACATCTGGCGATAATATCGCTTCGGCCGATGGCCCTTTTTATCTCTGTTCAGCGATCAACTTTGCCATTCTTTGTCCCATTCATTGTTTGTTTGTTTCTGTTAGAGTTCTAAACAGGTTTGATTTGGTAGTTGAGTTTGACATAGCTTTGATTTTTGTTCACGTTGTGGTAGCATCCTGTTATGCTTTTTGCATGTGTTGCTATCCATAAACAATTTTTTTTTTTCGAAAAGAAATTTTTCTTTTTATCTTCCATTGATGTATGACTTGTGGGAATTCAAAACGTAATCTTCTCATTGTTTGATTTGTGATGAGAAAAGAGCGTTTCTCATTATTATTAATGGCTTTATTTGCCTACAGTGTGTGTCCGTTGGAATTTTGCATTTTAGTTTGTTTTATTTATGTTCCATCCCTGGAAATATAAGAGTCAACCACTTTTTCATGTGCCTGAATTATCTTATGACAATCGAAGTGAGATTCATCATTCCTTTTTTTATCTCTCAATTCATGGTGTTTCCTATGGATCAGTTTTGAGTCCCCATTCGTGAGATGTTTTGTACTCATTTTGTTTCCTGGTTGGTCCATTTGCGTCTATGAACGCAGCGCCGCTGTACGCTGAAGCATTTGATATACTTATTTTCTTCAACATATTTTTTTATTGTCTTTTGCAGTCTACGTGACTACCTATCGCGCTGATCGTCGATGATTTCGTTTCGATTAGAGTCTTTCTTCTTCCTCTTTAGACAGAATTTGAGAGCTAGCCAGACATGATCCTTGCAACGACGTTTGCACAGTTTTGCTGATGGTAACTGCGATTACTAAGAAGTGTGCGAACTTTGCTTTGGTTCTTGAACTTCACCGCCGTTTTTTCATAGTGCAAGTTCACTACGTGGTCACAGTTCATTCACAGCACACAGATATAGTGCAAAGCCTACCACGATCCATAGAGATCGGCCTGAGTCGATTGTCATGGACGAGTCCGACGGTCATTTTGTAAAAGCTAGGGATGTGGAAATAGGAATTGTCCTCGGATCGCTATGAAAACATATCGGCAGCTCTGGAAAATGTTGTGGTTGCCGCTTGCATTGCGAAGTTTAGCTCCTCGCTATTCTTCTGTTATACAGTATTTGCGCAGGCTAAACGAGAGTTTTGTAGTTCGGAAATGTTTGATCTAGTGATTATATCATCCACTAGCTCCCAGTTATTTAGGTTATGCGAATCATGAGTGGCCAAACAATGGGTTCTGTTCGCTGTTGTATAGAGGAGTAAGAATGGTTTGAATCTGAAATTTGAAGCTGTCTTTAACGTTTTTATCACTATCGCTCGCCACAGTGCGAACTAGCGAAGGATACTGTAGCTCTGTTGACTCTGACAGCGGCAGTAAAAAACTGAACTTCGCCACAGTGCATTTCTCATTCGTGAGCCTAGAGGAATCATTGGATTCGTCAAGGAATTGACTTTTGGGGAATGCCCAGTTATTGTCTGCAATATTATCGTTCTTCGCACATTCTTCACCAAAGAAAAAATTCCACGTGTTTCCACAAATCAAAGAAAGTGTGCGTCCTTATTTTTCCAAGATTGATGACCTCACATGGGCAGTGAGACGTGTGAAACACGTTGTTGTCTGTGCTTTTGAGTGGAAAATGTACTTTCTGTTCTGAACTGAAAGAAAGCCTGGTTATCTGTACAAGGATCAACCAGAGGAAGATATGCTTGAGGCGATGCTCAGGCAATCTGGGCACATAAATTCTTACGTGTACAGTCGATTAGAATTTTCGTAGTGTGCTTGCATTGTAGGCAAATGCGGTACCTGTGACACCTTCCATAGGGAACGGGCATAGTGTCCACGATTCCGTCGCCGCGATTTCATCGCCGTTGGTGGTTTGGGCGACGAGATCGCGACGACGAAGTCGCTTTGGCGAGGACATGGGCATAGTGCACGCGATCTCAAGTCTTTGCACAAAAGCTGACTGAAATTTGTTCTCATGGAATAATCCGCTTACTCACTCTCAGCATCCACCATTGCTCATGCCAAGCTGGGTTCGTCATATCAAAGTCTAGCTGGACATGCATTTTACAAAACTAAATCTTTCACTGTAACAACTCGGTTGAATATAATATCTGACGATAACATCAAACGAAGACACGAAAAGAGCCCAGAGGAAGTTTGAGGTATTGGCAAATGTAAATATGTGTTCATTGTCAAAACAGTATCGTTAGGACTGTGTAGTGATTGGAGAGATCACTTGATGTTTGTACGAAGTGTCAGAGTGAATCCAATCTTGCTCTATGCCATGTTAAATTCACCTGATGAGCCACGTTCGTGAATACGGGTAATCGCTTTCTGCGGTGAGGTTTACGCTCAAGGGTAGAAATTACCCTCAAGGTTTGTTGATGAATAGGGATTGTTTTTCCAGGGTAACTTACGTTGATGAATACGGCCATTGAACCATGAGGGTAAAATACCCTCGAGGGTAAGGTTTACCCTCGAGCGTAAGGTTTACCCTCGAGGGTTCGTCGATGAATACGGCCACTGAAGCGAAGCAGACCAGGTTGAGGCTGCTTAATTTATATTACCTTAGTACAGTATCAAAATAAAACATTTTCATTATTCGCATTTTTCATACCAAAACAAACTCTGGGACTGTTTTGATAATGCCTTCGAAGCCATTTTTTTTTGTTAGCAATATACATATTTGCATGCTTTGTCGGGAATACAGTAGTTTAATCTTTGACACGGAGCTCTATCTGAATTTTTTGAAGGCTAATGTAAGGTCTGCTAAGGACTACATCTACTACAGGACACTCCTTGCTTAGTAACCTTTGTTTATTGTTACATTTGCTGTTATTATCATTCTATCAACTATTTTGGTCCTGTTGTTATCATGTCTACACCACCGTTCGTGAATCTTTCGCAAGTAAGGCGTATTATAAAGTCCGAACATTCCCAATATTATGACTAGATGAGACATCTACAGGTATAGACATTCATGTGTCATCGTCTGCCTTCATTCTAGAGTAGTGATGCATCTGTAGATGAGTGCTTAGCTTCGTCTTTATCTCTTTCAAATCTTTATTACTTGCAAATCAGCTTACTTAATGCCATGTTTTAGCGGCAGCTCCTGCAAACATGACTGATAGGAAGGCCACGATACCGAACGGAATAAAATTCCTTTTCGGAGGTTCCGCAGGGTAAGCATGAGTCATCCGTTTCTGGTTTTAGTCGACACTACTTACTTATACTGCGAACCTGAAGTCACCTATCTCTTCCGAGTATATAAAAATAGTAGTGGTGAAGTGTCAAGTTCGTGAGTTGCGCAGGCTCATGACTTGCTTTATCTCTCTGCTCCCAAGTTTATACAAACAAGTTTGATTATCAAAATTTATCATTAAAACATCAAATATAAAAAGGGGCGGAGAAAAGAGGTAGGAGGGAGAGACCAGAGCCACCAGCTAGGAGGCTAGGTCAGGCTCTTCTAATCTTGATCCAGAGCTGCCCACATTGCGGTTACATCTTGATAGAAGATTAGTAGACTAGGGGAGAACAGACGTAACTCATCAGTATTCTTACCTTGGAGTTTTGAGAGACGGCAAGTTCATAATCTCGCGCTAAAAGTAAATTCAAATAATGAACTATGTGTTCGATACAAAAGCACTAACGTTAAAAGTTTTGCGCGAAGGGGTCGTTCTGGCTTCGAGAGATTTGAGAGCTCTTGAACTCTTTTCGGTAAGGGTGACTAGACCATTGTGTTCGTGAATCTTTCGTTGGGGAAAGTCATGCGCGCACTTCCGTTCTGTACGAGGAGTTATGTTGCCGGTGCTCCGCTTCCGCGGACCACTGGTGCGAGCTATATATATATAGAGTGTCCCAAAAAGATGTGCACACTATTTGATCGTTAATAACTCTCTTGCTGTCATGTCTTTTGCCGAGCTTGAAGTATCATTTTGTAGAGCGAGGATAAACTTAGATTTACAGTATTAATTGAAACTCCAATCTCTTTTTGCTACTGTTGGATTACGGTATGAACTTTCAGCATACAGCATCACTGTGAGATAAGCCTTTTGATGAAATTCCAAAAAAATCTAAAAAATTGTGTAGCAAAGTTTTCAGGCGTGCTGATTTCACTACATAACTTTCCATCAGTTTTTTTAGCTTTCTTGATGGCATATTCACATTTCTGCTGAACACTGAAAAATCAGTTGTTACCCTAAATCTGAATTAACTCATGAAAGAAACATTGTACTGACGTGCAGTTTTCATATTTAGAATAAGCGACTATGATTGACCTAGTTCAAGAGTTTCTGGCTTATTTGGGTTTTTTCTGAGGCAAAATAAGCTTTCCATTGCTGAAAATCCTCCTCGAAATTCCTACCGTAATTCTACAGTAATGAAAAGCGGCTGGTAAGTCCCTCCATACTGTAAATCTAACAAGGGAACCGTGTCGAGTCGAAGTGGCCTTTCCAAATGGGACCCATACTGCTTTGAAGAGTATTAAACGATGATTCCAAATCTGCTTTCCAAATCTGCCAAGCGCCTCTGGACGCCGAGTTGTGACCGTTTCGGAACGAAAAATGAATGCAGAATTTAGGTAAAATTGATTGTTACAATCTTTCCAACGCTCAGATAGAACAATGTTAAGTATTAGCATGTTAATTAAAATGTATCCATTTCATAAACAGCTCTGATACTTGACACTGGACCATTTGAGCAAATTTGGGCGATTTTGCTTCACTTTTGCGTTCACTTTTTTGACCTGAAAAACGAGCATAACTCGGCGTCCAGAGGCGCTTGGCAGATTTCGAAAGCAGATTTGGAATCACCGATTACTGCTCTTCAAAGCAGTATGGGTCTCATCTGGAAAAGCCACTTCGACTCGACACGGTTTCCTTTAAGTTTATCCTCGCTCTACAGAATGGTACCTCAAGCTCGGCAAAAGACATGAAAGCAAGAAAGTTATTAACAATCAAACAGTGTGCACATCTTTTTGGGACACCCTGTATATTGGTATGCATGATTTATAGGAATTACGCACGTGGCAGCCCATCGGCGACATAAGTCTTTCTAATTGGTGCTAGAGATGGAGCTAATGGTTAAATAGATATATAGGCGATCTATCGCACGCAGAGTAGTTTGGACTGAAAAAGGCAGCAGAGGCAAAAATGAAGGAGCACCTGATTGGGGGGGGGGGGGGAACAGCGCGTTCAGTGACATCTTGTCTCTGCATGCGATGAATCGCTTATATTACATCTGCTTTTACTTGGCATTTGAAACCGTTTTCGTATGTTTTTTTTTCAGCATGGGAGCCACTCTGTTCGTTCAGCCTTTGGATCTTGTCAAAAATCGGATGCAGCTATCTGGACTTTCAGGTACCGTTTCTTCTTAGCTGAGGAGAATTGATTCGGAGTGTTAGTCTTATGAAAACTATTTGGACAAAGTAATAGTGCGTATGAATAAGCTGGTCTCATATAATGGTCTCAATAGTAATGGTCTCATATATATTTTTCTTCCTTGTTAAGAGCTGATGTTTAATGAATTTCACCAGATGATAGATGCATGGGTATTAAAGGCAGTGTCCGGGCTGGGAGTTTTGGGCTCAGTGCCATGCGATAGTGGCCCCCCTCGGACACAATATCGCGCAAGTGCGACGTCATAAGAAAAATTGTTTGTGACCAGAAAACTCAATCTATCATTGAATCAACAGCTGTAAGTGTTGTTCCTAAACTGAGTAACTATTAGGTTGTCCCGAAAGTTTTGTCGGTTTTTTCATCGCTCACTAAAACTCACAGAACACCCCTTGGACCACTTAGTACCATTCGGTTCAGATTTTTATCCTCTTTCTTATAGCTGCATTTGCTCTCTGATCTACCCTGTCTTTGCAATATTATCGCCATGGTTTTTGGAGCAGCTCAGCAGTAACGCCAAATATTTCCTGATTTTTTTTATAGCGATGTTTCCAAAGAGCGCTGGTAAAAGTTATATAGAACAAACCTTTGACTACATTCTCCCTATTTTAGATTACCTGGGCGACGGTTACCAAGCCCGTTATAATTATCTATTCAGTAAAGACCGCGGCTTTTTAATTACGTTTAATTACGTAAAGGTACCAAAAATTTCAAAAAGCAAACTAAACTTGTCATGTTGCTTGAATAATGTTAAGAATCATGTTTCAATTCGGAGAAACTTCGAACGCTTTCGTGTAGTTGCTGCAGTTGCGTCTTTCATGACTTTGCCAGAAATCGATACCTCCGAAAAAGTTATCTTTGAAGCTAAAATCAGCAGATTAAGAGGAACAAATACTGCCTTGTAGTCCGAGAATTGCTCTATTTGACCCATACTTAACCCTTTTATAAATTTTGGAACGAGATTTTCAAAATTTGGCCTAACTAGCAGAGGGCGTAGAATTATGGCAAGTATCAAAAGAGACATACGGGATTGTATTTCGAGAATCATGACTTATAATAAAGCGCTTAGCGACTGTCTTTTTGTGCGTGTGTGTGTCTGTATGTCTGTCTGAAATTCATGAGGCGAGTTCCAGCAAATGTCTTGAGCTGAATTTTTGCACAGTGTACGCTGGCAGCGTCCAGGCTCACCCTGCGCAATGGCGAATGGATCCGATGCGTGGGTTCTTTGAAAATGGCGTTTGGAGCGGGTCCACTCGGCTTTTGGCACGCAAAACAAGGTCGCTAATTCGACTTTTTGCAAAGTCATGATTTGCCTGACAAGTAAATCTGCGTACCACGAATTCTAGCCTAAAATGTGTTCAAAAAGTTTGTTATTCTGCGAAATCGGCGCCAAAAAGTGGTGATCAAGTAGATAGTCGATTTGGCAAGGTTTTACCTTGAAATTTGAAAAGATTTTTGCACGGAAATGTAGCTCAAAGTGACTACTATCCTTATGATGACTACCAAGCCAAAACAAATTCAGTAATCTATTCAAATTTGCATTTGTTCCTTTGCACAGTTTCTCTTCCCAAAATTACCGATCTGACGTAAAGATGCTTCAAAAATGAACAGCTGTTTACGATTCATTCGTGATATTCAGCACCGCGTGGTGAGTTTTAAAGTCATCATTATGCCAACATGAGAAAGCTACGGATAGGAGAGCCAGTGCGAACCTCTGCGAAGCTGAGGTGACGCACTGGTGTATTCATAAGAAAGAGAAAGAAAAGCTGCATCGAATGCATGTTAAAACTTATTCAGGTCTTTATTGTGCGTAGTTTTATAGTGGTCGGACAAAACTTTCACAACCTGATATATTCAGGATTCCTTGAACCTGTGTGAAGTTTTTGGTCTTTTCAGTGGAATAAGCAGATCTCACAACTTCTTTAACAGCAAGTCCTGTATCCAGGTGTTTGTTATCGCCTTGTTTACAGGACGAAATCTTTAATGTTTTGCGTGACTAGTGGACCAGCAATTAAAGGTGCTAGATTGCATTGGGACCGCCACGCGGTTTCCCGCTAGTTGCACATTTTTGAATTGCGCTTATGTTTCTTTATATATCAGGTGGATTCTTTATATATTAGATTAGATTCGTAACGTTTTCTATGGTGTAGCGCGCTGCTTATTATCTACTTTGAGATATACCATGAGAGTGACGTTGAAATCATTTTTTGTGGTCGTGACGTGACCATACTATAATTGATGTTGTTGACATATCATTGCGAACCCGGTTTCTAGCTATCCCAACAGTGATCGATCATTACTGTGGGCTAAAGAGGTGGGAAAGTGGATTCCGCTCAGGCGGCAGCTATGACCACAGCGAAGTTCGTCTCACCTATCTTTCAAGAGCGAACTTTTATTCCTTAATGTTGACAAAGAAAGCCTTAGTGGTCTGGAATGTTTCGCAGAAATGCGCAGAGAATCTCTATATATATAAAGCTCAAAAATTGTCTTTTTGGAGGGTATGTGCTTTATAGAAACGCCCACGGCTCACAATTGAGCTAAGACTTTGCACACAGATGTTTTTTTACCCTAGAGACGGTTTTAGGCTCCCTTTCTGGAGAATTCGTCGGGTCCTCTCATCGATTTATTGATTTGTTTACTGACTCCTAGAAAAATGAAAGCTTGCAGTCACTATCAAATCTTTCACCACAGTCATGTGAACGGGGACGGTACATCTCATTTTTACTCGGTGGATAGGCAGCATCTGGTGATTCTACCTGAGTAGCTTAGTGGACCCCTCGACCCCTTTATTGTTCTCGCACGTTGTAATCAGTGCAGGAGAGGAAAGCAAAGCGAGGTGGTCGGGTAGAGTGAAGCGAAAGACAGCGGAGAGGTAAGTCCTGTCATTTCGCTTTGGAGGGTAGACCGCTTGACGGTTCTCAGATACTTTTTCCGGCTGGTGACCGGGCGATGACCGGCTGAGGCAACACCTCAATTCCGGACGAGCCGGCCGCCGGCCGCCCGCCAGCCGGTGTTGGCACGCAAACGGCGCGGAAGTCGTGACGATCTCGAGTACAAAAATTTTCATTTGTCTGTCTTTCATCAAGTCACCTCACAAGCTTACCACTTTTTGGCAAATTCTCGCCTACAAATGTTGCCCTTTGAGAGGTAAAGCTATAATTAGGGCGCTCTTCGCTAAGTTTTTGGAAGAAGCAGTCAGAAGGAACATATTGGAAAGATAACGTGGGCATTTGTAGCGCCTAGCAGAAACTTACTAGGAGTTTTTTGGAAAAAAAAATTTGAGCAGAGCACTAGAAGACTACGGAAACACACAAACATAACCGTTTTGTACTGATGCACTATTATCAAAAACAGAACTTCTCAAGTAGTTATGCGAATGCAAAATGTGAGATTATCCATGCGGAATGAAATGACAAATTACAAGTTTAGTTTGCAAAAAGCAAGTACTCCAAAAAGAGCCCCAAAAAACAAATTAGTTTAGATCTGTATAGCAAACGGGACACCCAGCAATTTATACACGACTTCTTACACAAAGATTTTGTTTTTCATCAAACAAAAACGAGTGGAACATCAATGCATGTCTATGAAAGTCTCTCAAAATCTTATTCCAACCTTAGCGATATCGCTCAGTCGCCCGTGCAGCACGCGCGACGCGACATCGCTGAGTTTGGCCGAAATCGCGGCGATTATCGCTACGAACTATGCCATAGCTAAAAAGAGTCCGCGATTCGTCGCGCCGGATGAGTATCACAAGCGCCATAGCAGACACATAGGCATCAACGAGTGCGTAACAGTTGTCGTAATTCAGAAATCGCAGCGCGACGGTATCGTGGACACTATGCCCTAGGCCATATGCGCGCGCAGAATGCCGGCATTATAGGCGCAGCTAATTTTTTACGCGCAAAACTTACCGCATCTCACATCCAATGCAAGCAAGCTATATTAAGCGGAAATCTACTCGACTTTAAACAGTTTGGTGATGGGGGAGGAGAGAATCAAAGGCAGCGTCCACCCAAAATTTCACTTCTCATGTTTTTGTCATTCTGAGGCTTTTCCGTAGGCTGATTACAGTTATGTTCAAATTGTCTAAAATCCCCAAAGACCCGATCCCCGGGGAACCTCTTTCCAGGGAGCGGACGAGTTTCGAATTGCTTGTCCCCGTCGGCATACCAGCCGGCAGCAACTGCGACTGCATGGGTGCAGGCACTGCAGTGTGCAGTGTGCAGCTTCTGCTCACTACCGTGTCAATACGTGGCCTAGTTTCTGGCTGGGTGAAGCTTGATAGGATCTAGGCGTGCCTTGATAGCACTTTCACTGTTCAAGGTCCGTTATCTCCATTCAGAGACAACATTAGAGGATCGGATCCACGCAGATGCCCTTTTCCTGAGGCCTACATCAGGGTCGGCACTAATCGCAGGGATTTAAATGTAGACTGGACACTACCTTCGAGTTTTGCCCAAGCCACAGCGTAGATAAAAGCGATCTCACTGCAGTATCGAGTGCACCTACCTTGAGTCGCGCACGGCCGCTTTGCCTGGACCCTGCGCTGCGGTCGCGAACGTGCCCTCTTCTCATTTTCCCATGCCTGACAGAGGAAAAGGGCTTTCGCGACTGCATTAAAATCGCTTGTAATTTATCCACGGGTAAGAACTCCTTTGAATGTGACTCCAGAATACTGGTAGACCGGCAGGGGTATATGTCAAAAGGCGGATTTTTATTACCAGATGGCATCAAATGAATAATAAGTGTTTTACAACATTGTAAAAGTATTCAAAATTTAGAAGGAGATGTATTAGATAGTTTCCTGGGTTCCTCAGTTTTGCCACTTTGGAATTAATTCAAAACAGCTACTTTGGGGGTTAAAACCCATGAAAAGCAGTTAAAAACAAATCCGTGAATTTTTCGGCCCATTTTCCAGCAAAAGCCCCCAAGTTCAGCAAATGGTAACCATAGACAAACGGTAA